AGTTCCCAAAGTAAGATCATAATTTTTTATAAAGGGGGAAAAAGCAAATCCAAAACACTAAAAAAGGATGTTTTAAGTGTTTACTAAATATGATTTGTTCTATAACCTAGGGAAAAGATATTCAGAATGTTAAACCTTTCACTGGGATCCCTTCATGGGAGGCCCTGACACTTGGAAAGCGGCAAATGATAACCAGAAGCAGTGATGTCTGGCAGTGTGTGCACATGTGCACACACACATGAACACACATTTACACACTCACAGTCAGGCTCTTTTGCTCAGTGAGAAAGAAGCTTTCTCTCTTACTGAGAATCATGTGGTGATATCAGCACAGGTCTTTGGAGGAAAGGAGACTTGTCATTTATATCTGGAACCTCAAGAATGTTCCCTGCTCCTGCCCTGAGGAATTTTACTTCCCATATTTCACACAATCTGCTCATATCTGCTCTACATCCATGGATTTCTTAATATCTATATTTATTATTTGACTGTACTAGGTCTTAGTTGTGGCATACAGGATCTAGTTCCCAGACCAGGGATCAAATCCAGGTCCCCTGCATTGGGGGTGTGGCGTCTTAGCCACTGGACCACCAGGGAAGTCTCTCCATGAATTTTTCTGAATCCATGAGCTCCACTGGCAAACGCCACTGTGAGCCAGATACACATGCTCTTGACTTCTCCTGGGGTGAATTTGCACACCTTCTCCTTCGTGCAAATTAAATTTTTGCAGATCAATTATGATTTCCCACCAGCTTCCAATAAGATTTCTGAGCTGTACTCTCTCCTCATCAAGGTTGACTTTCAACACTTCAGCTTAAAGTTTCTCTGCCTCCTTCCATCCTCTCTGACAGCTAAACCTTATCTGGAAAATGAAAACCCTGACCAAGGAAACATTAACAGTTTTTATAGTTTGAATAGTCCAGGACAAATAAACAAACACACAGACACACTGAGGAGGCTACCATTTGGAAAAGATACCAAGTACCACCATTTAAGGGCTTTCCTGATGGCTCAGTGGTAAAGAGACCACCAACCAGTGCAGGAGACACAAGAGATATGGATTCAATTCCTGGGTCAGGAAGATTCCCTGGGGGAGGAAATGGCAACCCACTCCAGTTTTCTTGCCTGGGAAATCCCATGGACAGAGGAGCCTGGCGGGCTACAGTCCATGGGGTCGCAAAAAGTCAGACACAACTTAGCAACTAAAGCAACAACCACCACCACCATTCAAAATCCAAACCTTCACCCTACATCCAACTTTTCAAGAGGCCATTTCCAAGGGCTTTAAGGGTTTTGCCCCACTCCCTTGGAGGGGGAGTAGTTGCCTCAGGGGATGGGCATTTTTGGCTTAGGAGGGCCTGTACTATCTCTTCTGCTTTCTGCTCTCTTCACCCCACTCCAGAGACCTGTTGACTGAAGAAAAACACACAACCTAGAAGTCGCAAGTTCTGTCTTATTCGGCAGACTTACTGAGGACTATAGCCCAGGAGACGGCTTCTCAGAGATCTCTGAGGAACTGTTTCAAAGAGGTAAAGGAGGAGCCAGGATATATGGAGTTCTTGAAGAAAAAGTAAAAGCATGTGTTTGAATATCAAAGATTACTGCTAATCCTCCCAAAAATAGATATCTCAAACTAGTGATTTTAGCCCTTTCCTGTGTATGGCAAGATGTAAGAGCCTGGGATTATTGAAAGTATTCCTTATATAAGCATCTAAACTCTTTAGGGCCAGTATCCTCTTTTTCTCCATCCTGAGTTTCAGTCAGAGCACACAGGGTGGAGGGATGCAGGGGGTCATTGGCTGCAGTGGCCAATGGCTTGATGGCATTTCTTTATTGGAATGACAAGCACATTCTTTGTCCACAGACCCTGTCTACTGAAACAGAGATGGGCGCTGTGGTTCTGCTGAATCGTGTATGCAATTGGTGACCTATATAAAGCACTTGCTAAGTAAAGAGCTGCTAGGGCGGCACCCTGGCCTTGGTCTCTGGCAACAGTTAAGCAAGGGCACGTGCATCCTGGGTCTGTGCCTTTGCAGTCATTGAACTGGAACCAGAGATAATGTTACTGCTGATAGGGAAGGGAACTACCTGCTTAGTGGTGAGGAAAATTAATAGTCCAAGCATTCTTCCATCCTGCATTCTCCATGCTGGCATTTTGATTAAAAAAATATTGTTGCAGCTGTTTGCATATTCTGGAAGTGTGTGTGGTTTGGTGTTTACAGATTTGAGGTTGTGGAGGGAAGTTCCAGAGCAACGGAAGTAGCTGCTTGTCAGTCAGGGTTCATTTTGAAAATGAAAGCCTGAAAGCTTGGGGCCCATTCTGGGCCTGGTCTCTGAGGAATCAGCAAAGGCCACGAGGTGGCTTTGGTTAGTCAGCTTAGTGAAGCAACCACTTGTTCACCTTTTGCTTCTCTTTCACGAACTGACCAAGTCTATGAGCTGCTTTAGGTGTCCTACAGATTCAGTCTAGGGCAGGGATGTGGGAATGGGTCCCCCCCTCCAGGTTCTGTGGGCAGACACCTCCCCCAGCACGGGCGCATACAATGGTCCCACCCCCACCCCAGCCACATATATACACACAATTACATTTCCCCAGGTTGCCAAACCAGAAGGTGGTTAACATATTTCTCACTCACCTAATAGGTACACAAGGGCAGCACAACAGAGTCATCAAAGAATTTCGTTTGATTGGCATGTCAGAGTTAAGGAAGAGAAATACAACACAGGGCAGTCTGTTCTGGCTGCCGAAGGAGTAATACAGATAGGTGGCTGGGGGACTGAGAAGGATCACTCCGGGCAGGGGTAATCAGAGGAGGCTCAGTGGAGAAGGTGGCAACTGAGGCCAACCTTGAAGGGCGGGGGGAAGAACTTCACCAAATAGAAGCTATGAGGGAGGACATTTGGGTTGAGGAGGGTGAGTTCAAGATATGCTCAGGTTAAGACAAGTGAATTCATTTGGCTGGAATTTGGGACTTGTGTGAGTGATTTATAGTTGATAAGCTTGGTTTGAATGCCAGGTCGTCTGTGCCAGAACAAAGGCTATGGTGTCACAAAGACCTGCTCTTCTACTTCCTTCTGGGTGACCTTGGGCAAGTGGCCTAATCTCTGTGCAAAGGGAGGATAGTAACAATACTTAGCTCTTGAGATCCTTGGGAAGGTTAATAGAATAACAGATAAAAAGCATTTGGCAGAGTGGCGCATGAAAAAAATGTTCCAAAAATGGACTACAAATGCATAGGCTGTCATGAAGGGAAGCTCCAGATATTTAGGACTGGCCTCAAATATTTGAGGGTTAAAGTGGAAAAGCCTCTGGTACCTTCCATCACTGTGAGACCCAGTAGAGTGGCCTGGCTTAGCCTCCCTTTGGCCTAGACTATTGGAACTGTCTCCTGGCTTTCTGCATCTCCCATAATCATCTTCCTTGGTGATGGCGGTGTAGTCATTAAGTCATGCCCGACTCTTGCGACCCCATGGACTGTACCCTGCCAGGCTCTTCTGTCCATGGGATTCTCCAGGCCAGAACACTGGAATGGGTTGCCATTTCCTTCTCTGGGGAATCTTCCCAACCCAGGAATCGAACCCAGGTCTCCTGCATTGCAGGCAGATTCTTTACCAACTGAGCTATGAGGGAAACCCCTAATCATCTTCCTTAAACCTACCTTAATCATAGCTGTGTCCCACTATGGTTCAAGAACCTTCTATGGCTCCCCACTGCTCATGGACTGAACTCCCTAACATGGGGGAGGGTGCGGGAGATGCAAGAACTACCATTTATTGAGAGAAGAAAAGAACAAAGAGGAGGCTAATGTTAGGAGTGAAAAGGTAAAACAGCCTCCTCTTTTAAAAGCCCTAAAACAATGAATTCCCAGAAATCAGCAGGTCCTAGAAGAGAGCAGGATACATCTCTGAAGAGGGTAAGGCATTCGTGGCCAATGACTCTGATTCACCTACTTCTTCAAGTCTAGTCAGGAAAGGTTCAAGAGGAGATGAGGGCAGCGAGCTGGGTAGGGAGCCCCCGGAGGGAAGCAGGGTAATATTGTTTAGTACTGTCCAACTCTTTTGTGACTCCATGGACTGTAGCCCACCAGGCTCCTCTGTCCATGGGACTTCCCAGGCAAGAATACTGGAGGAGGTTGTCATGCCTTCTTCCAGGGGATCTTCCCGACCCAGGGATCCAACCCACGTCTCTTTTGTCTCCTGCATAGGCAGGCGGATTCTGTACCACTGAGCCATCGGGGAAGCCCTACGCAGGGAAATAGTCCTCAGTTCCCTGGAAGGGCTCCAGCCTGGACCCTTTCTCGGGTTTCTCTGCAGGAATCCGGGGCAGCTGCGGGAAGGGTCAAGGCACAAAAGGGGAGTGCAAGGGAACCCTAGTCACACGGGGCAGCCAGGCCACCTCCCCGAATGCGAGGCGTGGGACAAAGGCGGCTCAGGGACAAAGTGCACGGAGACTTCTTAGGAGATAAGAGGGAAGGACGAAGGAAGGGGCGGGGAGCGAGCGCCCCCGGAGCCTTAAGGATCACGCTCCCGGAGGCCTTGGCTGGAAGCCGAGCTCAGTTCGCCGGCGAGGGGGTTCCCTGGATCCTCTTCACCCCGGTAAGTGTGGGGATGCAGAGAACCCGGGGTCTGGGGCAGCCGGACGGCTCCGGGCGGCGCTCGGAGCCCGTTTGCAGCCCGCCCCCTGGCCCGCCCCACGGTTGCCCTCGCCCGGTGGGAGGCGGGGCCGCCAGCTCACCTGGCCGTTTGGGGCGGGGCCGCCCGAAACCTGGGGAAACGGAGGCGGCGGCTGCACCCCGGGCGCTGGAGAAGGGCTCGCCCTGGGGGCCTCCCTCCCTCGGCTCACTGGCGCTCTCCCTTCCTCTCCTCCCCTCCTTCGCTCCCTCCCTCCGAGCTCAATTGCTCAAGCCGCTTCCTTCCCCAAAGCCAGCACCAGTTCCTCTCGGTGGGGCCCGGGAAGGGCAGCCGACGCTAGACATTGGGACCGCCGTGGCGGCCGGACCATGGCCGAGCCCCGAGGGGCCGCCAAGCCGGCCCCCAAGGCCTCCTTCGCATCAACCAAGCTGAGACAGAGGAACGCCCCGCAGCCCCGCCCCTCGAGAGTGGACGCCGGCAACCTGGGCAGGTACCGGGGCAACGCCACCACCTCCTGGGAGCCCCCTTTCCTTGGCTCGCTGATGCCCTCGGGGACAGGCTCGGCGCGCCGGCGGGGAGCGCGGCTGGAGCAGCTGGGGCTGCAGGGGGCGGCTCCCGCCGGGTGGTTGTCGGAGGAGCAGTCCCCGGGCGGGCCGAACGGACCGGGCGGTAGCGGGCTGTGCCTGGAGCCCCGGGAGCACGCGTGGATACTGGCGGCCGCCGAAGGCCGCTTTGAGGTGCTGCAGGAGCTGCTGGAAGCCGAACCGGGGCTGCTGCTGCGGGGCGACCCCATCACGGGCTACTCGGTGCTGCACTGGCTGGCCAAGCACGGGCGCCACGAGGAACTCATCCTAGTGCACGACTTCGCCCAGCGCCAGGGGCTGCGGCTCGACGTGAGCGCCCCGGGTAGCGGCGGCCTCACGCCCCTCCACCTGGCGGCCCTGCAGGGCCACGAGATGGTCATCAAGGTGCTGGTGGGCGCCTTGGGGGCTGACCCCACGCGCCGCGACCACAGCGGCCACCGGGCCTGTCACTACCTGAGGCCCGACGCGTCCTGGAGCCTGCGGGAGCTGTCGGGGGCCGAGGACTGGGAGACGGCAGGCGGCCGAGACCGGGACCCTAACAACGCCAACAACAACAGCAGCAGCGGCGGCGGCGCCGCGTGGGCACTGAAACGCGCCCCGAGCGCAGTGGGCGCGCAGGTCGTGGAGAAGACCGCCAGAGCGGCGGCGGCGGCAGCTAAGGGGAAAGACTCCGTGGGCAGCCGGGTGGCGCAAATTCAAGGCCTCCTCCGCCATATGTTCCCCTTCTTCCAGGACCGTTGAAGGCGACGGAGACTGGAGAGCGTGGAGGGACCCCGACACTGCGGCGAGGCCTCTGTCCCGGGTGGTCCCGTGTCCTCCCACCCCCCACCCCCGATGGGGAGGCGCCCGGGACTCGGCTCGAGCCGCAGCCTTGGGCGCTGGGCCTGCCAGGAGCAGACCCCCTCGGGGTGGTTCTCAGGCACCTGTCGGAGGTCTCCTACTGCACCGGCCAGGAGCCGCTGGAACCAGGCACCAAGCGGCCCTGGTGCCGAGACCCCAAACTACAGGATTTAGGCGTTCGGTGCAGAAGCTCGGGACAAGGTTAAGTTATGCTTCCAGTAGCCATTTCTTGGCAGGCAGAAGCTCTGGGTTTATTAGGAAACATTTGTTCAAGAATGAGATAAGACTGTAAGCCAGTGATCCAGAAGAAGTCTAACTGCAGGCCTGACTTAGCTATTAACAAGTTATTTTGGGGGATGAACCAGCCCTTGTCAACCTGCTCCGGAGACAAGCAGGGCTTACCAGTAGAGGACCCTTTCTAATGTATCCCCAGTGACTTCTTTAGCATATTAAAATGGAATGTTTTCCTTTCACATGACAAAGCTGTCATTTGAGTGACATTTTTTTTTTTCATTAACCACCAAGGGAGAAGCTCCCTGCGTTTGCAGGGAGAAGGTCACCAACCTGTGGCCTTGAGCTAGCGATCCAGAACAGACTCTGGACCTCACTCTCAGAGAAAATGGCCAAGCTGTGCACCAAAGGAGCTACTTTCACCTTGGCTCTGAGTAGAGACACGCTGTTTACCTGTCTCCCAGGCTCTTTGGCATCTAGGTCTGGCTTCCTGTCAGTCTCAGTCCGGAGGAGCTGTCTGCAGGGAGCTGTGTGTCTGTGTGTGTGCGTGTGTGTGTGCGTGTGTTGTTCAGTCGTGTCCAACTCTTTGCGACCCCGTGGACTATAGCCTGCCAGGCTTTTCAGTCCATGGAATCCTCCAGGCCAGAATACTGGAGTGGGTTGCCATTTCCTTCTCCATGAAGGGAGCAGAGGGGAGGTAAAAGGAAAAAGCTTCCAAATATTTTTTTCTAATATTTCCTGGTGAGTCATGCAATTAACCTTGACTTATGCCCTCCAATGAGACACACCCCTTGGCACTTTTCTCCAAGAGAGGGCTTTAATCATCAGCATTGTGGGTTTCTTTTAATTTTATTTGGTATATAAGTTGTAGTTTGGAAAATTGCTCCCATTTAGAAATACTGTGAATTGAGTAGAATACAGGAGGGTTGCTTGATTGGCGCTGAATGGACGGAGAAGTAGTGGGTGGCTGGAAATCCATGCTGCCTCTGAGAACAGCAGATTTTTGAAATAGCACTGTATCCCTGGAGGCTTGGGTGGCCCTTGCAATGGACTGCTATGTCCTTAGCCCTCCGATCCCAGTCCTTGAAGGCCAGGGAGGAACTGAGTCACCACCCCACACAGCCCAGAGACACCACCCTGAGCACATCCATCCAAGTTTTCATCTCTGCTTGGCAGGCCTGTTTGCCCCTTCTCAGCTCAAAACATTCCCACCTGCCCTTAATAACCCATTAGACTCTTATCCATGAAATGATCCAAATCCTTCCTATTTATTCTCAGTCTGCCCCATGTCTCTAGTAACCATACCTTAAACATAATTACACAACATTGCTGTTGTTCGATCACTAAGTTGTGTCCAACTCTTTGCAACCCCATGGATTGCAGAACACTAGGCTTCTCTGCCCTTCACTATCTCCCAGAGATTTCTCAAACGCCTGTCTGTTGACTCGGTGATGCCATCCAATCATCTCATCCCTGTCACTCCCTTCTCCTCCTGCCTTCAATCTTTCCCAGCATCAGGGTCTTTTCCAATGGGTTGACTCTTCCATCGGGTGGCCAAAGTATTGGAGCTTCAGCTTCAGCATCAGTCCTTCCAATGAATTACTTGCAATGAATATTTAAGGTTGATTTCCTTTAGGATTGACTGGTTTGATCTCCTTGCTATCTAAGGGACTCTCAAATTTTCTCCAGCACTACAATTTGAAAGAATCAATTCTTCAGCGCTCAGCCTTCTTTATGGTCCAACTCTCACATCCGTACATGACTACTGGAAAAACTATATCTTTGACTATACGAACCTTTGTCGGCAAAGGAGCAAGCGTCTTTTAATTTTGTGGCTATAGTCACCATACGCAGTGATTTTGGAGCCCAAGAAAATAAAATCTGTCACTTTCCACTTTTTCCCCATCTATTTGCCATGAAGTGATGGGACCAGATGCCATCATCTTAGTTTTTTGAATGTGAGTTTTAAGCCAGCTTTTTCACTCTCCTCTTTCACCCTCATCCAGAGGCTCTATAGTTCCTCTTCACTCTCTGCCATTAAAGTGGGATCATCTGCATATCTGAGGTTGCTGATATTTCTCTCAGCAATCTTGATTCCAGCTTGGAATTTATCCAGCCTGGCATTTCACATGATGTACTCTACATGTAAGTTAAATAAGCAGGGTGACAATATACAAGCTTGATGTACTCCTTTCCCAATTTGGAACCAGTCTGTTGTTCCATGTTGGGTTCTAACTGTTGCTTCTTGTCCTACATACAGATTTTTCAGGAGACAGGTAAGATGGTCTGGTATTCCCATCTCTTTAAGAATTCTCCACAGTTTGTTGTGATCCACACGGTCAAAGGCTTTAGCCTAGTCAATGAAGCAGAAGTTCTTTTGGAATTCCCTTGCTTTTTCTATGATCCAACCAATGTTGGCAATTTGATCTGATTCCTCTGCCTTTTCTAAATCTAGCTTGTACATCTGGAAGTTCTCAGTTCACATGCTGTTGAAGCCTAGCTTGGAGCATTTTGAGCATCACCTTGCTAGCATGTGAAATGAGCACAATTGTACTGTAGTTTGAACATTCTTTCACATTGCCTTTCTTTGGGATTGGAATGAAAACTAACTTTTTCTAGTCCTGTGGACATTGCTGAGTTTTCCAATTTTGCTGGCATATTGAGTTGCAGCACTTTCACAGCGTCATATTTTAGGATTTTAAATAGCTCTGATGGAATCCTGTCACCTCCATTAGCTTTGTTCAAAATAATGCTTCCTAAGGCCCACTTGACTTCACACTCCAGGATGTCTGACTCTAGGTGAGTGATCACACCATAGTGGTTATCTGGGTCATTAAGACCTTTTATGTATAGTTCTTCTGAATATAGCATTTCTTTTTAAAAAATAATCATTTATTTTTAATTGGAGGATAATTACTTTACAATATTGTGATGGTTTCTGCCATACATCAACATGAATCAGCCACAGGTATACATATGTCCCCTCCCTCTGGAACCTTCCTCTCCATCTCACTCCTCTAGGTTGTCACAGAGCACCGGTTTGAGCTCCCTGTATAATACAGCAAATTCCCACTGGCTATCTATTTTACATGTGGTAATGTATATGTTTCCATATTACTCTCTTCATTCTTCCCACCCTCTCCACATGTCTGTTCTCTATGTCTGCATCTCCATTGCTGCCCTGCAAATAGGTTCATTAGTATCATCTTCTAGATTCCATATATATGCATTAATTTTTCATCTTCTAAATGAACTTCTTTGGGACTTCCCTGGTGGTCCAGTGATTAGAGCTCAGTGCTTTCACTGCAGGGTCATGGGTTTGATCCTTGGTCGGGGTACTAAGATTTTACAAGCTGTGTGGCACATCCAAAGAAAAAGAAAAAATGTAAATGAACTTTGATGTTTGCAGTGGAAGGGCAAGCATCTTCTGGCTTGTGGCATTTGGCATGGGCACCTGGTATAACCCTCCTCCATCCCCATGCCCATTTTCTAGATGCAAATTGGCTAACTGATGCAGGATGGTGGTTTGTGCTTCACAGCCTCTCCCAAGTGGGTTGGGCTTGGTGAAGGTTGGCAGGGTGAAGGCCTTCCCTTCCTGCCACAGGGCTTAGAAAGAAGATTGGCATGTGCCTTTGCCCCACATCCAAAGGACACTTCTAACAGTAGTCCCTTCTTCATAGGAAAAGTCTGAACCTCAGAATCTTAACTATAAGCAGATTCAGGGACCTAAGACAAGCATCTGTCCTGTTCTGTCCAGAATGAAAACCAAGTCAGCTGGAAGATTTGAAAGCAGCTTTCTAGAGTTTTTTCCTATCGTCAGCTATTCTTCCCACAAATTTTTTTTCATCATGTGATGTTGCTTAGCCTACCTCCTCCATGTAAAATTGAGGTTTGGCTGCAGGGGACAAACTCCCATGCTGAAAACTCCACATGCCTCACATCAAGCCATTGGCATTTCTGGTATGCTCACCCCAAGAGAAAGAACAAATTCCCTGAGAAACTTCTTTCCAGGGGAGCAAAGCAGAGTTAAGCAGATGATGCAAATCTGCATTTGAGTGGGACAGATGGATAAGAAAACGAGACCGAAGCAGGGCTGTAACCAGGTAAGCATCAGGGTTGGAGGAAGGGATCCTGCACAGAGGATGGGGCCTAACCCAGGCCAAAAGGTGCAGGAAAGGTTTTGGGGAGGAAGATCATACCTGATCTGAGGCTGGAGGGGTGAGCGGAAGTATGCCAGTGGAGACAGGGGAGCAGCCTCCTGGCAGGGCCACTGGAGTATGTATCAGTGCACAGAGCGAGTACCAGGAGCTGTAAGTCAGCCAGTTTGGCAGGAAGGTGGGAGCTGGGGCGTAATTAACAGCAACTCTGGAAAAGAAGTCGACGGGGGTCCAGGTCACGAAGGGTCTTCAAGGTCATGCTAAAAGAGGAACAGAGAATTTTAACTTCGAGGTAGCTGGGAGGCATAGGTTTCTAAGCAAAGGAGTAACAGGATTGGATTTTAGAAAAATCAGTCTTACAGTCCCGTGGAGGATAGATGTGTCAGGGGAGACAAGTGGGGGAAAACACCATTCAAGCAGTGTCTTTCAGAAGAAACGCTTCAAGGAAAGCCAGTCTTCTGCTGGGAAGTTCAGAGACCCCTGTGGAAGGCAGTAGCCTTCAGACTTTTTTTTTTCTTCTCCATAGCCTTTGCTTGGGGCTTCCCAGGTGGCACTAGTGGTAAAGAACCCGCCTGCCAATGCAAGAGATGCAGGAGGCGTAGGTTCAATCCTGGGGTGGGGAAGATCCCCTGGAGAAGGAAATGGCAACCCACTCTAGTATTCTTGCCTGGGGAATCCCATGGACAGAGGAGCCTGGCGGGCTACAGTCCATGGGGTCCCTAAGAGACAGAACTGAAGAGACTTAGCACGCACGCAGCCTTTGCTCAAATGAAGCTCATCTCAGAGCCTCAGATGTAAAACTGACAAGTGAGGAGCTAGTGAGGTGAATCTGGTTGGACCTCACCTCCCCACCCTGTGCATCCATCTTAGACCAGCGGAGGGCGCACAGTGGCCCCTGGAGCAAAATTGTCAAAAGTGCTGGCGTGGTGGAAAGCACTCAGCCTAACCTGGCTTCCAAACCTGCTACTGATTAGTGACCTTGAGCAAATCACTCACCTCTCTGAGCGGCAGTTTCCTCAGCAGTAACATGGGACCAATACAAGCTCTCTTGCAGGGATGTTCTGATGATTTGAGAAAACACATGCACA